TTTGGTTTTTTGGTTTTTCTCCGGTACCGGGAACCGAACTCACGACCTTGCGCTTGCCAGGCAGGCGCTTTTGCCGCTGAGCTAAATCCCCAGCCCCTGTTCTTTTTTTTCTTTTTGGTACCGGAAATCAAACTTAGAACCTTGCACTGGCCAGACCGGCACTTGTGCCACTGAGCTATATCCTCAGCCCATTCTTCATAAAATATAGCTAGGCATGGTATCGCATGCCTGTAACCCCAGCACTGGGGAGGCTGAGGCAGGAGGATTGCTGTGAGTTCAAGGCTAGTCTGGACCACATAGTGAGTTCAAGGCCAGACTGGATTACACAGCAAAACCTTGTCTCAAAAAAAAAAAAAAAAAAAAAAAAAAATCATAGGTCTGATCCCCAGTAGTGCAAAAAAGAAAATATATTATAAATTATCATAGCCAGGCATGGTGGTACATAACTCTGATCTAGCTCCTCAGGAGCCTGAGGCAAGAGAGTCACAAGTTGCAAGGCCATCCTGGGCAAATTAGTGAGACTCTGTTTCAAAATAAAATTTGTAGGGGCTAGGGATTTAGCTCAGTGGCACAGCGCCTGCCTGGCAAGTGCAAGGTCATGAGTTCAATTCCCAGTACCGGAAAAAAAACAAAATAAAATAAAATGAAATAAAATTTGTAGCCAGGTGTGGTGGTGCACACCTGTAATCCCAGCACTTGAGATGCTCAGGCAGGAGGATCACCAGGAGTTCTGGGCCAGCCCCCCTACATAGTGAGTTCAAGGCCAGCCTGGAATACATAGACCCTGCATCAAAAAAAAAATTTTAAGGAGACCAGTGATGCAGCTCAGTGGTAGAAAGCTTGCCTAGCACACGTGAGGCCCTACATTCAGTCCCCAGTACTGTGCAGTAAAAAAGGTAGTTACATATTATCTAAACTCGTATACCAAATCTTCTTACCTAAGTGAATGATAAGTAATTTAAGAAAATGGTTTTGGGTCCCACCCTTCCCCATACCCCGTGGGTGAATTTCACTGATATGTAAAAAAAAAAATTGTAACTGATTTTTCTTAAATTATTAGTTCTTTGTTTAATGGCAGTTGCTGTTATGTCTTTCTGTTTAAGGAACATACGCTATGGTCTCTACCACTCACTCTTAGAGTGGTTCCATCCACTGTACCTACTTGATAAGAAAAACAACTTCAAAACTCAGCACTTTGTCAGTTCCAAAACAATGCCAGAGCTGTATGACCTTGTTAACAGGTAAAAAACCAATATATTCGACTTCTATGTTTTGTCAATGAAATCAGAGCTTCCTATTAGGTGCTTTTAAGGAGGGAAGAGGGTGAGCTGGGCAAGATGGTGCATACCTATAATCCCAGCCCTTGGGAGGCTGAGGCAGGAGGGTCGCTATGAGTTTGAGGCCAGCCTGGAATACATGGTGAGACCCTGTCTCAAAACACCAAGGGGGTGGGGGGCAGGTACGTATGACAATAATGTAGAAGATAACAAAATAATAAAATTGATGGTTGTATTAAGGCAAAATTCTTTTTTTTATCCTACTTTTCAGATTTTCTGCAAGTAGTCGTATTGTCTTTATAAGCTGAAACAATTACACAAAACCCAGGAAGACAGTGAAGTCAACTTCAGGCCCTTGCTTGCCTGCAGTTGTCCCCTTTGTCAGGACCTTGGAGAGCGTGCAGTGCAACCTGTAGGCTTGGGTCTCCTTGCCTCTTACAAGCCCAAAACAGATCGCCTGTGAGCCTCAGATTCCCACTCTGTAAAGGGCCCGACTGTCACAGCGCCTAGCACAGCGTAGGGGATTATCGCTGTTACTACATTATCTTAGAATGACCACTGTCACTTCGGGCTTGGTCACTACTGTTCACCATGTCTCACCCTTGACTTGCCTCGTTATACCTGAGAGGCTCATACAGACCCCTCAAGAGTTCCAGTCAAGCCTGGGCAATTTAGGGAGACCCTGTTTCAAAATAAAACTTGCTTTTAAAAAAGGACTTGGCTGGGGACATAGCTCAGCAGCATAAATGCCTGCCTGGCAAGCACAAGGTTCTGAGTTTGATTCCTGGTACCAAAGAAAAAAAAGGACTTGGAACGCAGTGCAGTGGTAGACACTTACCTAGCATTTATGAGGTTCTCATGTGCCCATGTTTTCCCACCCCACACCCCAAAATAAAGAGGAAGGAAGAGGGAAGGAGAAAGAATAAGTACTTTGTTCAAGGCAGGAAAGACAACTCAGTTTCTGATCTAGTAATGGGTCTGTCCAAGCTTCTGCAGGTTTCTTACAACTCTAAGCCTTCTTTAGAGAAGTCATCTTGGATGGAGTCTAATGCAAGGGGGTCCCTCCGCAAAATGAGCATCTGGACACAGAAGGCTGCCTCTTGCTGTAATCCCAGCACTCAGGAGGCTGAGGCAGGAAGATTGGCGCAAGTTTGAGGCCAACCTGAAGTATATATTGAGCACAAGGCCAGCCTGGACTATATAGTGAGGCCCTGTCTCAAATAAAAACAAAACCAAAAACCTTTAATCCTGTAGTTCTAGAGAGCTACTCTTTGGTAGTGCTGAGGATAGACTCAGGGCCTCCTGCATTCTGGGTAAGTGTTCACCACTGAGCTACATCACCAGCCTGGAAGCACTGCTTTTAATTGGCATTAGTTACTGGAAGGAAACCAGATTGTGCGTATGCACACACACACACACACACACATTTGTTTTAAACACTAGTTACATTAACAAAGTGATTTTATTATTATTGTTGTTGCTGTCATCTCTTTAGTTTTCCATATCCTCTGCGTTGTAGTAATTTTATGGTACTTTCAAAACGGGAGGAATTTTTTTTTTTCAATGCTGGGCATTATACCCAGGGTCTCGTGCATGCTAGGCAGATGTTCTGTCCCTGAGCTATACCCATAGCCCTAATATGTGTTGCAAAAATGAGTCTACAAAACTGTCCTGTGAACACAGTCAAACGATGAACTGTTCGGCCCCTGTGCCTTCCAGCTACAAGCCTGACCTCATCTGGTCTGATGGCGAGTGGGAATGTCCCTATACCTACTGGAACTCCACCTATTTTCTTTCCTGGCTGTACAATGATAGCCCTGTGAAGGTAAGTATTTATCTGATTTATTTCTTACGTATTTGTTACAACAGAAGTAAGTACAAGGAACCAAGACGTGGAGTACGAATAAGGACACAAAAGTAGCAAATGATACCAGCGTGTGGCCATTGGGAGGAGAGCACCTAGCGGATATTAAAGGTTTCTCCCTTAATTCTAGCCCCTTGGCGTGTAAGCTTTCTTTTTCTTTTAGTTCTTGGTTTTAACAACGTAGGTCTAAGCAGTGTTAATTTCACATGGTAGAGTAGAAATAGGATGTTGGATTCCTAGACTACTGCAGAGGAGATAAACCCTACTATGCAAACAAATATTATGGGAAAACATCCTCAAGTTATGTGCAAATAATAAAACTAAGTGATAGGAGTAAAATTTAATGTCTGTGGTTTCACATACTCTGTATTGATTATATATCTTAACTCTAAAGGAACCAACCAGGTCATTTCCCTTTTATCCAAATTCTTGGGGATACCTTGCCTACCCCAAACCCCTCCCCTAATCAGTATTATTAGCCAGTGTGTAGTGGTTACACATTTATACTTTGTATTGGAGTAATTTTACAAAACAGCAGAAGTGTTCATCTTCACTATAGGAGACTGAAAAATTATTTACGTATTTTAAATTTGTTGTGGACTTTAGAGAAAAATCTAAATATAAAACCAGTTTGGGGGTTGGGGTTTAGCTCAGAGGTGGAGCACATACTTAGCATGCCTGAGGCCCTGGGTTCAATCCCAGCACCAAAAACCAAAACGAAACAGTTCGAACTGAGGCACCTTGATAGTTTCATAAATCTCCAAGGGTTTCACTGGGTTGCTATTACTAAGCTTGGAAAATGGAAAGAAATTTAAAATAGGAGACCTTATGTGATAAGCTGAGAGAGAGTAAAAGCAGTTTTCAGGAGCTTGCTAAGTGTGTAGAGGCCCTCAGATGCGCAGTTGGTCCCTAGGTCATCATGTCTGATACAAGGTCATAATCGTCCACGTGTTTGTCCTCTCAGCAGTCTCTGCTGGATCTTTAAGGGCAGAGTTACTTACCTTGGGTGCACCGGGACCTGCCACAGTGTGAGCCTCCTGGTATTTACTGAGTACGCAGCCACTGCATGAATGAATGGGTGCCGGATACACCACGAGTGAGAGTGATCAAAACCCCATTTTTCCCTGAGATGGCCTTCGTATAACTGCAGCGTGTAGGCCCATGAAACTAGGGCTAGAGGGCTGGGTGGGTTCCGGTGAGAAGTGAAGGAACATCACAGAAAAGAAGAAGACTCAGGTAAAGATTCAGGGTTGGAAAAGGGAAGGAAATACCTATCCCAGTGCCCTTTGAAAAGCACAGCTGGCTGGGAGTATGGTAACCCCTGGTACCAGGAGACTGAGCCAGGAGGTTCACATATTTGAGGCTAGCCAGGGCAATTTAGTGAGACGCTGTCTCAAACTAAGGATTTCAGAAGGGATTTGATTATAGCTCAGTGTTTGTTTGGTTTTTTTGAATTTGGTTGTTGTTGTTGTTTTAGAGACAGGGTCTCACTATGCAGTTCAGGCTGGCCTTGAGCTCATTTTGTAGCCCAGGCTGGTCTCAGACTCGCAAGGATCCTCCTGCCTCAGCCTCCCGAGTGCTGGGATTATAGGAGTGCGCCACCACGCCCAGCTTATAGCTCATTATTAAAGTACTTACCTAGTAATCCCCTGTACTGCCTGAATAAATACATACATACAGTACAGTGTTTTGGGCCTCAAAGATTTTCAGTGCCTGGTATGGTGGTACACAAGGCTGAGGCGGGAAAGAATCTCTGCAATTTGAAGTCCAGCCTGGGCTACATAGCGAGACCTTGTCTCAAAAAAAAAAAAAAAAGAATTACAGTTCCACAGCAAGCAGAACCTTTGGTGTGGCCTTGTCTCTGCCTGTTTACACACTAGCTTTGCAGACACAGGATTGTAGAAACGAGGATTTATTGGGAGCCAGCTCTGTGGCATGGTATGTGCCAAGTCTGAAGCCACAGAATTGATGGTTTCAGCCCCGGAGGAAGCACAGTCTGAAGAGAAGAGACAGATCTCACTGTGGAGTGAGCAGTATGACAATAGAAATATGTCCCAAGGTCTTCGCAGTCTGCCGAAAGCGTAGGGTACTGGGTTAGAGACTGTGGCCATCTTGAAAGGGCTGTGTATACAGGGCAGGGTACCAGTCCTCCAGCGCTCAGAGAACGAGGGGGAGACGAAGGAGACGGGTGAGGTGTTACTGACCACTCACTCTGTGCCAGGGTCAGGGTGTTGTCACTTAATCGTCTGAAAATTCCAGTGAAGTAGGTGATCGTTTTCTTTTGGTTTGCTTAGTTGTTGGGGTTTTGTTTGGATTTACGTTTGGTTCTTTTACACATAACTAGATTTAAAAGATAAAGTTCCCTCCCTAAGGCCCCCTGACTAGTAGGTGACTCTGAAAGCCCAGGCTGAGCTTGGGTTGAACCTGAGGTGTCCCTTTCCGTTCTGAGACCTCGTGAGGCCCGGATACTGATAGCTGAGTACAGGAGACGCGGTCACACTGGCTAGAAATGATGCCTATTGTTCCGTTTTGCTTTGGTGCTAACTAGCTGCCGTAGGCTAAATGTACATGGTGATGTGGGTGGCCCTGAAACAAGCAAAAGGGGGCGTTTTTAAGTGTTTATTGTGTCCTTTCACAAGGTTTTTAGTAATTGCCCTGTACTGGCCACTCTGTTAGAAAATAGACTGCCGTACGTTAAATATTTACATGAACATATCCCGTGTGATCGTTTCTTATAGTTCAGCTAAGCCTGGGAGGAAGAAAAACGAAGATCTGGTGACTTTTGCACTTGTGGGAAGAAAGTCGGGGTTATATAGTGGAAAGCATCCGGGCTGAGCTCAGAGGCCTTGGAAACAGCCCAAGGGGAGCCCCTCTGCCCCTGCCATGGTGGGGTTTCCCCAGCTCTGGTGCTAGGTGTCTCTTCTGTGGGTTCTCAGCCTTAGCACTTTGGATATTTGGGGCCAGATACTTCTTTGTTACCAGGGTATCCTGTGCACTACATACAGGGTGATGGTGTTGGGTTTTTGTTTTGTTTTGTTTTTTTTCCAGTATCGGGAATTGAACTCATGACCTTGCACTTACCAGGCAGGCACTGTGCTGCTGAGCTAAATCCCCAGCCCCATACACAGGGTGTTTTGTAGCGGTGCTCCCCTAACCCATTCCCCTAGACGTCAGTAGTACCACCCCTTTGTGACAACCTGAAATGTCTCTAGGTTGCCAAATGTCTGTCCCCTTCAAGGCAGAACTGCCCCTGTCCTGGGCAAGAATCACCACTTTAGACTGTCCCTCATTTCCAAATACCCCGTGGCCCCACCAACCCGCGGGGCGTCACTGGATGGCATTACGCCCTTGACCCGGCCCTCCTCTCACCTGTAGGATGAAGTGGTAGTAAATGACCGTTGGGGAAAGAACTGCTCCTGTCACCACGGAGGGTACTACAACTGCCAAGATAAATTCGTGCCCGGGAGCTTGCCCGATCACAAGTGGGAGATGTGTACCAGTCTGGACAAGGGGTCCTGGGGTTACCGGCGAGACATGAACGTGGCGGACGTCTTGAGCGAGTCTGAAGTCATTTCGGTAAGGGCGCCTCAGAGCTGCAGCTTGCTAACTCGTTCTCTCAGCAGACTCCTAGCCAAGAGTGACAAAGTGTGGGTCAGCAGACCTCCCAAGGCTACTGAGCATGCAACAGAAACCTGTCCTCGGAAATGACTTGGTTACAGGAGGAGGTTTTACATTTAGAGATGGTCTCCCCGGATTGTTTACAGTAAGACATGAGCATGGTTGCAGCATCTCACAACCAGAAGGGATAATTATGTCGATGAGCAGATTTCCTTAACTGCTAAAACGCTGAGAGCTAGAAGCAGAGCTCCTGGCAGAGCACTTGCCTGGCATGTGTGAGGCTCTAGGTTCCATTCCCAGCACTGATTTTATTTTTTTTTTCCTCCTCGTATTTTTTTTTTTTACTTTCCCCTCTTTTTTTCCTTCCCCTCTTTGTTCCCCTCCCCATTTGAACATTTTCTTCCTATTTCACAATATCTATTACACATTTTGAGTATTTTTTCGCTGTTGTTTCTGGAAATTGAACTCACAACCTCATGCTTGCCGGACAAGCGCTATGCCGCTGAGCTATGTCCCCAGCCCTTTATTACACATGTTGGTCTTTATTTATACCTTCTGTTTCTCACAACAGAGAAACAATGCAGTATTTACACATGCGTGTCCAGTTTATTTCACTTGAGAGTGTGGTCTCAAGGTGCATCCATTTAGCCAGAATTGTCTCAAGTGTATCCTTCTTAATGGCAGAGTAGTACTCCATTGTATAAAGAAACCACATCTTTATCTATTCACCAGTTGATGAGCACTTGGGCTGTTTCCAAGATTTTGCTATTACACAAACATAGGTATTCATATATCATTGTCGTATGATGCTTTTAATTCTTTGGGGGAAGATAGCCAGAAGGGGAATAGCTGGATCAAATGGAACATCTAGTCCTAGTTTATTTTTTTTGTTTTGTTTTGTTTTGTCTTTTTGAGATAGAGTGTCACTATGCAGTTCAGGCTGACCTTGAGCTCACTTTGTAGCCCAGGCTGGCCTCGAACTCGCAAAGATCCTCCTGCCTCAGCCTCCCGAGTGCTGGGATTACAAGCATGTGCCACCGCATAGTCCTAGTTTTTTGAGGACTCTCCACACTGATTCCCACAGTAGTTACACCAGTCTGCACTCCCACCAACAGTGGAGAAGGGTTCCTTTTTCCCCACCTCCCCTCCAGTATTTGTTATTGGTTAATTTCTTGATAATAGCCATGCTTTCTGGGGGTGAGATGGAATCTTAGTGTTGTTTTAGTTTTCAGAACTGATTTTAAAAAGGAAGTTGATAATATAGTATGGGTAAATGGTTAATTCATTGAGTGAAAAAATGTGACATTATTATATCTGAAATTAACTTCTGAGGCAAAAGCCTGAAAACAGCAGAAGTTAATGGTATGGTGTGTATTGGCATACTCTGTTGGATTCTCCTGTTTTGTTTTGTTTTGTTTTTGTACTGGGAATCGAACCCAGGACCTTGTGCTTGCTAGGCAGGCACTTGTGCCACTGAGCTATATCCCCAGCACTTTTTTTTTTTTTTTTTGGCACCCCGAGTTGAACTCAGGACCTTGCGCTTGCCAAGTACACAGTTGTGCCACTGAGCTGAATCCCCAGCCCTGGATTCTCCTGTTCAAAATTTTCCCTGCGTAATCTTAGTTTTTCTGGGTTGCCTTGCAGTGCACTTGTTTGGTGTGAACTAACCTCTTCTCCAGGCCTTCCAGGGTGTACCTCTGTATAGCAGTCTTCCCAGAAGGGCAGCATGTGCCTTTGCGTAGCCCATCACATAACAAACTTCCTGAAATTCCCCATAAGTCTTCTAGCCCCTCAGGGTCTCCGTGGCAACCACTCAAACCTCTGATCCTGACCCCTGTGTCCCCTGCCAACCAGTCCGTGGTCGTTCATGGCTCAGAGCCAGCCCTTCCCGGCCAGTGCTTTTCTTTCAGCTTCCCTGTTCACGCCAGCCTCTGAGAGCCAGCCCTTCCCACTGCATTCCGTGCCGGAGCCTGCGGCCCCGCCAAAAGTGCCATGAGCACTCCCTGAGGTCCCAATTGATATCCATCTCACAACAGGCGTTTTGTGTTCTCCTATGAACCTGTCCTGCTTGTATAATGACAAAGAAGTAGAGTTTTTAAACGACACGGGCTGGTCACAGGTGAGGAAGAGCCGCTTGGATCACTTGGCCTGTCCTAATATCTGTAATCTAAGCATTGCTCCGGACGTGGCATTCACGGTTCACCTTTCATGGTCTCTGCTCCCTTTAGGAACTGGTTCAGACCGTCAGTCTGGGAGGCAACTATCTTCTCAACGTGGGGCCCACTAAGGATGGACTGATCGCCCCCATCTTCCAAGAGAGGCTCCTTGCGGTGGGAAAGTGGCTGCAGGTCAGCGGGGAGGCCATCTACGCCAGCAGGCCCTGGCGGGTGCAGCGGGAAAAGAACGAGACCTCTGTGTGGTGAGTCATCTCCTGACGCCCGCAGCCTTATGGAACTGCGCCCGGCTTCAGGTTGTCTTGAGGGAACCCCAAAGCTGTTCTTTTGCTATAAAACTTGTGGCCCCATTGGGTTATGGCTTAGGCCACCACAGTGTCTTTGACTGGAGAGGTAGACAGTAGGTTTGGAGAAAAGGGAAGTTGGAGAAAAACATTGATTAACTTGGTAGTCACTGTTAGCCTGCTTCCCCCAAATAATGGTAGTTATGCTTATGTGGCATCCACAATTGCAGGGTCCATACTCAGTTCTTTCCATTCATTCTTGGACCTGGATCTAGTTATTTGATCTTGGGCCTCAGTTTTTTCAACTGCAAAATGGGCTGATGCTACTTAACTTCAGAGAGTTGTTTTGAAGACTAAATGAGATAATATATGTGAAGCACCCAGCAAGGCCAGGCATAAACTAAGTGTCTAGTAAAAGGTACTGCAGAAGCTGGACATGGTGGTGCATGCCTGTAATCCCAGCGCTCAGGAGGCTGAGGCAGGAGGATCATTGCGAGTTCGAGACCAGCCTGGGCTACAAAGTGAGCTCAAGGCCAGCCTGAACTGCATAACGAGATCCTGTCTCAAAAAGACAAAAAAAAAAAAAAAAAAAAAGGTACTGCTGATGTTGTGCCAAACAGCTTCAGTCTTTGGATCAGGCCAAACACACTAATCCTTCTGGTTGAATCAGTGTCTAGAGATTTTCCTCTTCCTCTTTAAACATGGTGAAGTCTCAGGATAACAAACTTGTCTTCATTGTGTACCTTACCCCTGCTGTGTCCTCTGTTTTCTCATGGATTTGAGGTTGAAAAGATTGACATAGGGTAAATGGCTTCAGGGGGAAATAGCTGATGAAAGGGCTAACTAGACGGAAGCAGGTTAACAGCGCGAGAGAGGAACATGGAAGACAGGCGAGAGTGTAGGCTGCTTCCTCCCTGCGTGCTGGAATTGGTGTTGTTAGCGCCTCGCAGTAGCGGTGACAGGCGCGAGGTCTGGGGCCTGGTAATAACTGAAAAAGCAGGGACAGGATTATCAGGGTGCCAGTGTCCTTAACAGCAGTGTTTCCTTTTTCCCAGGTATACTTCAAAAGACTCAACTGTTTATGCCATTTTTCTGCAGTGGCCAGAACATGAAGTTTTATATCTTAAATCCCCCATAACTACCTCAACTACAAGGGTAAGGAGTCCCATCAGTTCTAAGATGTACTTACCTCCTGCCGTGTGACGGGGGCACTGGAGCTTGAACCCATGGCCTTTGTACTGAGCTCTGTCTCTAGCCTGCCTTTATTTATTTATTTATTTATTTTGTTTGTTTTGGAGGCAGGGTTTCACTATGTAGTTCAGGTTGGTCTTGAGCTCACTGTATATCCCAGGCTGATCTTATACTCACGGCGATCCTCCTGCCTCCATCTCCTGAGTACTGGGAATACAGGTGTGAACCAGCACATCCAGCTATAGCCCTTTTTTATTTACTTACTTACTTACTTACTTATTTACTTGTTTTTTTTTTGAGACAGGGTCTTGCTGTGCAGTTCAGGCTGGCCTTGAGCTCACTTTGTAGCCCAGGCTGGTCTCATACTTGCAATGATCCTCCTGCCTCAGCCTCCCAAGTGCTGGGATAACAGGCATGTGCCACCATGCCCAGCATAATAGCCCTTTTTTAATTTTTATTTTGAGACAAGTTCTTGCTAGGCTGGTTCCAAACTTGTGATCCTTCTACCTCAGCTTCCCAGAGTGCTAGGATTATGGCTATGTGCCACCACACCAACCTAAAAGTAGTTTTTTCATTTTCTTTTCTTTTCTTTTCTTTTTCTTTTCTTTTCTTTTCTTTTCTTTTCTTTTCTTTTCTTTTCTTTTTTCTTGGTTAAATGTAGCTTTTTCTAAAGGAACTGGTAGACCTTCTTTCTCTGTTCTTCCTCTCTTTCCTTCCTTTCTCCTTTCCTTCCTTCCTTCCTCCCTAGGCTACTCCCACATCGAGCTCCTGATGGGTTCTCTCCCCTGTCCCGGGCCAGCATGGGTGTTCAGAGCGTGGTTTGTGTGCCCTGGTGCATGACTGGGGCTTCCCGTTCCTTTTTCTTGCTGCAGGTAACCATGCTGGGACTGAAGGAGGATCTGAAGTGGTCCAAAGACCCGAATGAAGGTCTGCACATCTCTCTGCCTCAGTTGCCTTCCTCTGCACTCCCAGTGAAGTTCGCCTGGACTGTGAAGCTGGCAGGGGTGGGGTGACCCTGGAGGTCAGGAGGAGTGGGGCGCTGCCCGGTGTGTGCTGCTTTGATTTCTCTCTCGCAGAGCCGGCATCTAAATAAAGCCACTTGTTTTCCCCACCCAGAGATGGCCTTTCCCGCACACTTTAATCCCGAAACTGAGCACCTCACACTGATGACTAATGGAGTCATTGCTAGGGCACTTCCCACTACTCAGCAAAAGAAGGGGCCGCCCGGTGGGGGCGCTCTCCAGGGCAGCCACCTGCGTCCTCTGTTCTGTAACCTGCTTGCCTACTAAGTGACGTCAGACCAAGGACCAGCCCGTCCCACTGTGCCTCCGGGAGTGGGGAGAGAGGCTGGAGAGCTTAACCACAGGCTCTGTTTAATATCAGCTGCTCCCCGAAAGCTGAAGGAAGCCAGGAGGGAAAGGAGAACCCTTGCTGGGCGCTAATGGTCAACTCTTCAGAAGCTTCCAAAGCAAACTACAGCTCTGAAATCGCCCATGTTCACAGTGAAGCTATGAAGACAAAGACTGCCATTCTACCCCGCCTTTTTCAATAGGATTGCATAGTCTGTAGTCTCAGCCCTTGGGAGGCTGAGGCAGAAGGATCCTTGCGAGTTTGAGGCCAGTTTGGAGTACATAGTGAGACTCTCTAAAAAAAAAACAAGTGAATAAATCTGTAAGTCTAATTATTTCTAACAAAAAGCATGTTGTTGCTTACTGTTTCTTGTTCTTTTTTTTTTTTTTGCAAATTTTTTCAATAGATGACTAAAAGAAGATGAAATTTTGGTGAAAAGCTTTGTTTTTTAAATAGTAGTAGGGATAGAACTCAGGGCCTTTGTACTGAGCTAAATCTGCAGCCCTCTTTTAAAAAATTTTTTTTGGTTTTGCTCTTCTGAGAATAAAACCAAGAGGGAGCCCCACCACTGACCTACGTCTCCAGTCCTTTTTATTTATTTATTTCGTAACGGGATCCAGCTAAACTGCTGGATAGATCCTGGTAGATCCTGAGTTGCAGTCCTCTTGCCTCAGCCTTCCCCAGTGCTGGGTTGCGGGCAGGTGTCAGCACATCCAGCCCTTCCTTACCTTTTATTTTGACACAGGGTCTTGCTAAATCGTTAAATTCCCAAGGCTGGGCTTGAACTTAAAATCCTCCTGCCTTGCCTCCCAAAGTGCGGGGGTTACAGGTGTGGGACATCAGACCCAACTCCGCCTTCTATCCATTTCCTCTCCCTTGATCTTTGCATCAGATTTCTGCTCAGCTGTGCGTGATGTGTTATTTAAGGACTATCTAAGTGGTATAAGACCAGTTTATCCTAAAGCTGCCTACACTGTCTCTTCCCCCTCAAGACCGGAGACACTACAATAAGTATAAGGAAGATATTTCCAGGATTTACAGGGCACCGTGAGCTTGTGATTTCACGTGTACAGGCCCCCAGGTTTTGCAGTGTCACATCCCAGACTACTGAAGAGGTACCCAGAAGTCTCCAGTCATCCCTTCCTACCCAAAGCCCATCTTCTTTCCCTTTACACAAGGGTAAAAAATGCTTGAGATTGTGTTTAAGGGGGTCTTTTCGGATGGTAGCCTGGCCATCTTGTTTTGCTGACTTCCCAAGTCATCTTTTCACCTTGACTCAGGAACTCATCCTGGAGTTGCTAGACCCGTTCAAGTGACAGGTAAACAGACTTGGCTTCGGTAATGGGGTGGTTTAAGATACCGTGGAATTCAGGACCAGACCAAAAGGAAGACAGCAGCACCAGAGAACTTCAGAAGGCAGCTTTATTTCACCATCTAGAGTTGGTTCCACATGTCTTCGTCATTAATTGCTAGGCAGAATTTACTCTTCCAGAAACTAATAAGGTTACTATCATATAACATGGGGGAAGAAGCAGTCATTGTCTGAGACTGGGCAGAGGTGTCCTTGAGGCGGTAACTCTCTGGGACTCAAAAGTAAGCAAAACACCACTGTCTGGCTAAGTTGCACTTACCTTGCAGCTGGCACCTGGAGCGTCAGGGCTCGTTAAGTTTTGTCGCTTTCTAATCATGAGAATCAGCTGTGCTTCCCAGCCTCGTCCTTGAACAGTGTTAGAAGTACAAGATTTTAAATTTTCTTTACATTTAAAATAGCTTGGGTTAAGGATTGGAAGTGAAGTAATCAGTGGTCTGTGTGTACCCAACTAACCCTCAGGCCACTTCTGGGACACGTGTTCGGAAAAGGGCAGCGTTAGCTGAGGGTAAGGTTTTGGGCTGCTGACAGAACGTCACCCATCAGCACTTACTTAGATCCCAGTGAGAGTCAGTGCCTTTGGCAAAAGCGCGTTCAAGTCCCTGAAAAGGGAGCGAGGCCACCATTATCATGACAGGGGCATCCTCTACCACAAAGCTAGCGGGAGACTAATCGTACACTGCTCAGGCAGTGATCTCCAAAATTAGGCTTCAAGTCAAATGAAAGCAGGTAACTAAAAGCCAGTGAGCTAGAGAATTTAGTGAGGTTTTCCCTCAGTTTCATATTGGGACTCCACAGGGAGCAGCCTCTGGCCTTTCCTGAGGGATTCACTCAGGGATGGGTGCATATGTTACTCACTTTTGAAGAATTTGCCAGTAAGTGAATTTAGGGGGCAGACAGGATGGGGTGATAGGAATTGGGGAACTGGTTATCAGGTTAATAATATCCCGAAGTTATTGGGGGCTAATCAGGTTTGCAATCTCTGGAATGAGTGTACGGTGACGGCTCTATAAAAAGAAGCAAATGGAGTGATTTCAGGGCTTCAGCAGGATCAATGCCCTCTCGCAGAATTTGAGATTCTCTCGGGGCTAAGACCAAGACCTCTGGGTATCCTGTGTTTATTTAGCTAGAAGAAGGGAAGGAAGTACTCAAGAAGGGTGGAACTTCTCCAAGTAAGGTATTAAATTAATCCACCCAGGAGTGAGATGCCTGAGGCTACAGTCTTTGTCTGGTTGAGGTTGGAACCAGGTGTCCTTGGCTGTGATTTTATTTTACCCTTTGAGGCTTTCCAGCTTCATTACCCAGACAGGCCTTAGTAGGGATCAGTGACTCACAGAGGTTCACTTACTATGAGTCCATTGCCCATCTCCAGACAAGGAGCCTAGGCCTTAGACAGACTCACAAGTAAACATGAAAAGCCAATTGATTAAGTCCTGCTCAGGGCTGCTTTGTAGTGGTCTCCATCAATTGGCAAGGGTATGCTTTGCCTACATCATTTCTCCGTGTATGTGTACTTATTTTAAATTATGGTAGAATACATATAACATAGAATTCACCATTTTAACCTTTTGAGTGCACTCCTCAGTGTGATTATGTACACCCGTGTTGCTCTGTAACCATCTCCACTATCCATCTTTGGAACTTTTTTATCATCCCAAACTAGGGCCGGGGGTTATAGCTCAGTGGCACAAGTGTCTGCCTGGCAAACACAAGGCCCTGAGTTTGATTCCTGGTACTGGAAAAAAAAATCATCCCAAACTAAAACATTAAGCCCATTAATCAATAGCCTCTGTTTCCTCTTCGCAACCCCCTGGATGCTGCTATTCAGCCCCACCTCCTCACACACACTGGGGATTAAATCCAGAGCTTTGGCTGTGTACTAGGTAAGTGCTCTACCACAGAGCTACATTCCCAACCCTCATTATTTTGAGACAAGGTCTCTTTATGTAGCCCAGGCTGGCCTTGAACTTGCAATCCTTCTGCCTCAGCCTCCCAGATAGCTGGGGTTACAAGTGTGCACCACCACACCCAGTTCTCTACTTTCTCTATGAATTTGACTACTCTTGGTATCTCATTGTTTAGGGTTCTCTAGAAAAACAACCAGTAGGAGATCCACCAATGGGTAGCACTGGGCACCAGTTACGAAGAGTGAGAAATCCCAGGATTTGCTGTCAACAAGCTGGAGACTTAGGAAAGCCGGTGATGCACTTGCAGTCCAAGCTGGACAGCCTGGGGAGCCAGATAAAGCTGCCAAGCTGAGAGAACTCTTTCCCCCACCTTTGTGTTTTATTCGGAACCCGGGATGGCGTCATGCCCGCTGATATTGAAGAGGGGGAAATCCCTTTTCTCAGTCTATTGACACGAGTGCTATTACTGGCCAGAAATACCCACAGACACACCCAGAAGCCACGTGTAGCCAAATACTTGGGCTCCCTGTCATGTGGTCACCTTGACACAAAATTAACCATTGCACCTATATAAGCTGAATCACGACATTTTCTCCTATTGTGATTTGTCCTTTTTTGTCTGACTTAGGGTGGCTTTTTTTTTTAGACAGGGTCTCACTATGTAGTTCAGGCTGGCCTGTAACTTGCAACAATCCTGCCTCAGGCTCGCCAGTGCTAGGATTACAGGCGTCTGCCTCCATGCCTGGCCAGCATGATATTTTTTAAGGCTTATCCATGTTGTAATATGGGTCGGAGTCTACATCTTTTTAAGGGTAAACAATATTCTATTTTATGAATATACCACATTTTGTTTATGTATATTCTATTTTATGTAGTTGCCCATTTATGTGACAATAGGCGTGTGGGTTGTTTCCACCTTTTGGCTATCATGAATAATGTTGATATGAATGTTGGCAATTCTTTGGAGGTGTTGTAGTTTGGTGGGGTTTTTTTTTTTGCAAGGGAGAACAATGTAATACAGGACACATTTTATAAGATTATTTATAATAGTCACTTAAAGAATGATATATAAGAGAGTGCAGGAAATCTGTCCACACAC